TGAGGGATATGTACATACATACATATCGTCGGTTAAAGTACAAAACCGCGTATCAACAAGATTCAAAACCGCTACTGGAGATTTGGTGACATCGTCGATCTTGCTGTGAATCCTAAGCGACATATATATAGAAATTACGAGTACATAACTTAAGTACATATTTACTCTTCTACTTTATATTTCGGCGGTAGTTGCGTTCACTCACTTCTGGTAAGCACTTGGACCAACAAGCCCAACCCCAAGAGGCAAAGGCACCCCAAATCAAAAGCTTTCAAATCTATCGCTGGAATCCGGACAATGCTGGAGAGAAACCCTTTATGCAGACATACGAAGTCAATCTGCGCGAATGCGGCCCCATGGTCTTAGATGCTCTGATTAAAATTAAGAATGAAGTTGATCCTACATTGACTTTCCGACGTTCATGTCGTGAGGGAATTTGCGGTTCATGTGCTATGAATATCGGCGGAATAAATACTTTGGCTTGTATTAGGTAGGTAACTTCAATGATAAAATGAAATTTATTATTTATAGTGCTTTTGCAGCAAGATCGACACAAATCTTTCGAAGCCGCTTAAAGTGTATCCCCTACCACATATGTATGTAGTTCGGGACTTAGTGCCTGACTTAAACAACTTTTATGAGCAGTATCGGTCAATTCAACCATGGCTACAACGCAAGTGAGTTGAACGTATTCATTAGTGATTTCAAACATTTAATATCAATATTTCATTGTAGAAATGAAGTAAGCGAATCAAAGGGCAAGGCACAATACTTGCAATCTGTGGAAGACCGATCAAAACTTGATGGATTGTATGAATGCATTCTTTGTGCTTGCTGCTCAACCTCGTGCCCGTCGTATTGGTGGAATGGAGATAAGTACCTAGGACCAGCTGTGCTGATGCAGGCATACCGTTGGATTATTGACTCGAGGGACGAAAATACCGCAGAGCGTTTAAGCAAATTAAAGGATCCCTTCAGTGTGTACAGATGTCATACAATCATGAACTGCACACGCACTTGCCCTAAAAATCTGAACCCTGGTCGCGCTATCGCTGAAATCAAAAAATTACTTTCAGGAATGGCAAGCAAACCCGCACCGAAACTTGATACAGCAGCTTTGCATAAGTAAATAATGCGTACATATGTATGTAAATGCGAAACGCGAAACTAAAAATGTTCTAATCCAAAGTCAAACTTTATGCTTAACTCTCACAGCCAAGTTGTTTTTTTTTTTTTTTTTTTTTTGTAATTGTTTTCATTTTAATATGCGAAAAATTTAAGGTTATTTACTGTACTTAAAAAATTGCACCTGTTTTTTCAACTCATCTTACGAAATACAATTTTCAATTGAGCGACCTTATAATCCAGCAGTTGCATTCCATTTTTTGCTGCAAGAGTGCCATATTCCAAAATCGAGTTAAATAAATACGCAGCAATATAGCGGTTGCGTAGAAATTTCATAGCTGTATAGATTGCTAGAACAAAATATGTATTCAAATTTACTGTGGGCACGTTCAGAAGGCGCAACAGCTCAGTAACTGTTGCCATTGCACCCTCTGAACGCGTTGTTGTGGACTTCTGATCAACTGAACAGTTGCGTGTTAGATGATGGTAATATTTTTCTGATTATTTGAGACAACATGTTGGTGTGTACCTTTAAGAGTTGAATTTGTCAGCTAATGCATCAAGCCGTTCAGAAGACGCATAACGATCATTGATTTTGTTAGCAATGGTTGCGCTAAACTGCTGCGCCTTCTGACCCTACCCTATGTGAGTGGTGGCTCTCAAAGAATCCATCGCAGCCCGATTTATCGTGATATCTACGAAAATGTGATCATTGAATCCGAATTGCTACGAACGTGTGTATTCAAAGTATACGCTACGTTCGTAGCTATTCGAATTCAATGACTGCATTTTCGTAGATTTCACGAAAAATCGGACTACGATGCATTCTGTGATAGCCTTGAGTAGAGTTAAATTCAAAACTTTAAAGCCGTTTTTCTAGAGCTTTTTATTTTTTGCGCCAACTGTGCGATATGTATGCGTGTACAACATATCCCAAGCTTAATAATATATATGTATGTACATGTATAAAGAATTTATTCAAAATCTACGTATTTGGAAATTTTTTTCTATAATCTCCAATAAACATTGGGCTTTCTTAAGAATTCGAAAATGATTGGAAACCCAATATTTTTTTGATACCGAATTTGCAATAGGTTAGTATTCGATTCGAGAACTAGGCCATTATCCAGCAAAAGGGAAGCTTGGTTATCCAATGTATCCCTTTGTTATGAATTCGAAATCCAGCCCATTATCGAAAATGCATATACAACTTGTATGCGACCCACCGAAATTTCCAATTTTTGTTATGCGTGACATTTTGATTTGACGTTTCGCTCAATGAAATCAAATGCAAACGCACGCAAGCCAATTTCGGGTGACGCAAAAAAAACAAATTCGACGGCGTGCATACCAAAACGCAATTCGAGTGTACAGTGAGCTCGCGATAATAGATATTAACATCCTAACATATGAACATCCCAAAATATGAACACTTTTTCGCTACCATTGACTACTCTAAAATATGAACTTTAGGCAAAAGCTCTAAAATATGAACATTATTGTTTTTAAAAATTTCTAACGAATTTCAAGCGCTTGGTAATTTGGGGAGCCCCCTAGCTATTTGCATTGGAAATGTCCATACGTGTCGCTCGGAAATGCTTACAGTAAATAACTTCATGTTCGGTTTTCTTATTGTTAGATATGCCATGTTTTTTTAACTGAAAGAAATCAAGTTTATTTGTTAAAAAAAAACTTGCTTTAGAAAAAAATTTTAAAATTGCAAGGTAAGTTTTGTATTTCGTTTATCAAGTCTCGGCTAATAGAAAGTTTATGTTTTGTATGAGTTTGTTTGGAAATTTTGAAAATCGGTTACTGTGGTCGACAAGAGGTCGGTTAAGATATTACAACACCCTCCATAGGTAATTTTTAATTACTTGAACACCACGATTATTCTAGATGCCAAAAATAGGGGAAATCCGAAAGTGGACCCAAGACAACATGATTTAGATGATAACAGCTGCGTTATCGCAATGTGGTAAAGTATACCACATTATTCTAACCATATGTACCATATTACCCTCCAATTTTTGAAATAGGTATTTTTTGGTTTCTTTTAAATTTTTTTTCAATAACTTTGTTATTTTTGAATACAAGTAGTATTTAACTGAACTATATTATAACTTAAGTTTCACTGTTCTCGTATAAAAAATAATAGTTGCAATAAAGCTCGTACATGTGCTACATATCTTAAAATCAATACCTATACCACAATACCCGAAGTTCCCCTGCATATGTGGATTGTTTATTTGTGTAACAAACAAAACGAATACAAGTTTCTTTTTAAGTTCTAAATAAAACATTTTTTTTAAATGTTGTTGTTTTTTTTTAAATCTTCAGCCTTTCGTAAACATGAACAATCTCGCAAAAATTAACAGGCTTGGTTTTAATTAGTTCATATTATCGCGAGCTCACTGTATTTCTAATTTACTCTGAACGTTGGAAAACTAAAGTTGGTTATGAGTTCGTTCTAAGTTCGATATTCATATTGGACTTCGAAGGGCTTTTTCGAACGTTCGCCACAATATTAAATTGGATTAATCAGTTTGATAAGGATAATATGTTGAGTCCAACAGATAATTCAACTCCCCAAAATAGGCGAAGTTACATATCGTCGTTTAAAGTACAAAACCGCGTATCGTCATTCTGCAAAATCGTGTAACCGACATTTGCTGCTCTTGGCTCAATCCTTATCAGTTCGTCCTGAAATAGACTAGCCAGAAATGCGATTGCTTTATAAAAAAGAGAGAACCATGTACATATTTGGCTTTCCAGCTGTTTTTGAATACCAACTATATGAATTGATCAAACTATGCGTTTTCCCACAATACTTAAATTTTGAAATAATTCTTATTATTAAACGTGTGATATGCAAATATTTAAATCTTAAAGCAGAACTACTACTACTGTACGGACCTTCAGACATTGTCCTTCAGATTTTTCCGCTTCATTTAAGCTCAATATCATTGTGTACACAATCCACAATGCTCACTATTTCCCAAAAAGGGCCAAAAATAAAATGCAATTTTTATGCTTAGCAGCTTATGATGCAATCGCCAATTTGACTCAAATAGTTAACGAATCGGATACTATAATTTGCGGAAAAGGCGGCTATACTTGGCGTTTGTGAAAAGTTGAAACTGTTAAGAAGTTGGCAGCACTTATTCAAAGAAGTAATGCCAATTAGCGATATCGCGTACCCAAGAATGATAGAATACAAGATTGCGCCAATCGAGCTGAGAGTAACTGGCCGTGACGTCAATAAATACCAGAATGAGAGAGCAAGACGAACTCGACAAGAAAAAGAGGAAGCATCGAACAAAAGGCAGTATTGCTAAGTTTTCAATTTGAAAAAGCACCAAATATTTATTGGTGTATTTTATGGACTTTATATGCATACATAATTATATTGTAAGGATGCCGATTCAAATTAATAAAAATCAATGTTTCTTGCACGACGGTCGATTTTTTCTGGCTTGATTGAAGTTGCTGCCACATATTTTGTTGTCGCTTATGATTGTGCCATGATTTTATTAAAATTTTTGTGAAGTTGCTTACCACGCTTATGATTGCTATAAATTTTGCTTCCATTTTTTTAAGATTTTATAATTTGGTGTCTTCAAACTAAAAACAAAAGCACCAAAAACGCACCAAGCACCAAACTCAAAAATGTTCGGGTTTTGAATACCCACTAAATTTGGTGCGAAAAGCATTTAGCTGGCAACAGTGAATGTAAACAAAAGTATTTTATGACGTCAGCGATTGGGTGGATGCTGTCAAATCGACGATGAGAGGGTTAGCGGTCCGCGAATGGCGCGACCTTTATTTTCTGGATCGTGTCGCGTACCTAATGTCAAAAAAAAATGTCTTTAATTAACTGCATTTACCCTCTTTTATATAAATTTTTTCCGGAAATTTTTTAAATAAGTTGCATTTTATTTTCAATATTTGAGATGTTTTCGGTTATTGAATTAATGAACCTACTGAATACTATACCAACGGATTATAAAATGCCCGAGGACAGTCGTTTCGTTGCAGCAAATCAAAAATACTTACTAGAATATAAAAAACTAGGGGTTATTACAATCGCCGATGAATTACAAGGAGCAGTGGCGTCAGGCTCTACTCAGTTTTTCTGTAATGTGCCCGGCTGCCAACAAATCTGTGAAGATGCTTCTACATATCAGACACATTTCAACAATGTTCATAGGTATTTGTGTTCCATTTGTCGCCGGTCACTACCTACTCCACATCTGCTCGATTTACACATTTCTGAACGACATGATTCGTATTTCGCAACTCGCGTAGATCGTGGTGAAGCGATGTACTCCTGCCTCCTGGAAGAATGCAAAGCAAAAATGCTTACTCAGGAACAGCGCAAAGATCACTGTATCAGAATACATAAATTTCCGGTTAATTTTAGATTTGAACACTTCTGCGGAAAATCCAATAAAAAGAAAAAAAGTAAAACTGAAACCACCGAAGCCGCTGATCCAATGCACGTTTTTGATGCCACAGGAAGTGAAATCAAGGCAATATCATTCGGTCTTCCAAGGGAAAGAACATTCATGCGTAAAGACACCTTAAAAGACCTTACTTTACTAAAGGATGCATTAGATGAGATATAACGAGAAAAGTACTGTTTATTTTGATTTCGTAGTTTATTTCATTTTTTTGAGGTTTATTTTATAAATAACTATGCAATCAATAAATAGTTGCGGTGGTCTATTTAGTTTTCGCTAAAGTTCTGAAAGAAAAGTAAAGGTAAGAACATATTTTAATTCTTGAAATCAATCTTACGGAGTGGCGTTGGCTGTTATGTAGTGGTACGCTACCACTAAAAGAAACAGAAAAACGCCCAACACGTTGGAGAAAATTGCCAATTGTACATCGCTTATCATCTTGATACTTGGGGGAAAAGCTGTAAACAAAAAATATACATATGTAATGTGGATGTGTAGATAATGGCGTTTACATAGCACCGGCAGTGACACGTCATGGCACTTTCTCAATATTAAATGGAAAATATATAGCGAAAAAGTGATCGTATATGAATTTCCTATAAAACTTTAATGGATATATGTATAGATTACTTACTTACTTTGTTTTAAATAATAATATTGGTTCTAAAAATCAACACTATTTCCTGCGAACGGTGAATTAAAATTATTGAATTGTCAGAAGTTGATAGAAGACTGATTTGGTAGCACTCAAGGCCAAATTCGCCTTGGTGGTGTTCAAGGCGAATTTATACAAGGTGGTGTTACTGGCGAATTTATATTTTCGGCGCGGTCAAGGTGTATTAAACAAGGTGGTGTTGGGGCGACAGCTGAGTTTTTCGCCGTGGAGGCCATTACGTCAAAATGATGTGTTTGTTGTAACTCATACCAATGACAGTATGGACATCAGCGTATAATTTGTTAGTGTAATTTTTTACTTATATACGGCCAACACCACCTTGTTAAATACGCCTTGGGCGCGGTACTGCTGAATGTCAAAATGATGTGTTTGTTGTAATATGAATTTGCATTGTTTACAACAAACTCATCATTTTGACATTCTATCGATAGCCCAGAATAGTTGTGTTTCTTGGGTTAACGGAAGCGATCTGGATCATTCTTACAGGCTAACCTAAAAAATGGTTTTCACTGAGTCAAATTCAGTGGCATTTTTGTCAAAATAATGTGTTTGTTGTAAACAAGGCGAATTCATTTTACAACAAACTCATCATTTTTACATTAAGAAGTTCTGCGGCGAAAATCTAAATTCGAAATCAACACTACCTTGTATGTTTTGTAGTTGTTGTTGTAGTGGCTGCGTATGTGAGGTTGCATAAATTTTTTGCAGAGAGCAAAAACACTCATATTTCAAAATGGTTCTCTTTTTTACAAAGAAATCGCATTTCAGGACGAATGGATCCAGATCTAATATTTGGCAAAAAATGTCAGTTACGCGAATTTGATGAAATGTCATAATTTTATTAAAAGTCAAATGGTTAACAACAACGACGAATGTCATTAAATGAAGTCTACCTTCTTATTTGTATCATGGACTGGAAGTGCTTTACTAAAATCCGACTTTTATGATTAAAAAGTCGATTTTTGTCGAAAGTCGAAGTCGACTTTGCCAACCCTGCACTACTTGGTTATAATTCATCAACAACGTGCTGCATGTTTTATATTTGGCTAATAAATAGACCAAAAAAAATTATAAAAACTTCAGAAAATCTGGCGGAATTATGCTATTGTTCTGCCCGACTTGTGGCAATATATTGATGGTTGAACAGGATACAGCAGGGCACCGATTTTCATGCAATACATGCCCATATATTTGTAATATAAAACGAAAAATTTCAACTCGAACATTTCCACGATTGAAGGTAAGTTAGTTAATTTTGGTAATGTATATGTCATAGATTATTTACGTTTTTTCTTTATAATCGATCTCAGGAAGTTGATCATGTCATGGGTGGTGCAGCCGCATGGGAAAATGTAGATTCCACCGACGCTGAATGTCCTGCGTGCTCTCACAAAAAAGCTTATTTTATGCAAATGCAGACCCGGTCTGCGGATGAGCCAATGACCACATTTTATAAGTGTTGCAATCAAATTTGTGGCCATAACTGGAGGGATTAATCCTGTTATAGGCTTTATCAAAATCAAGTCATATGCGCATTGTTGCAAAGTTTAAAACACTTTTGGATGCCTATCGGCATCCATGGTACCTACTCCTTTTTTCGACGTACTACTCTAAAATGCTTCCAGCTTTACGGGGAAAGGTCTTCGACGTGCTAGACCCCAGGGCTTTAAATGCTGCTCGCCACTGTCTATTTAACGGAGAGATTATCGCTTTGCCCACGGATACTGTGTATGGTCTAGCGTGTAATGCAAATAACGAGGAAGCCATACAACGACTATATGAAATAAAAGGACGTGATTGTTATAAACCAGTTGCGATTTGTGTAAAAAATGTGGAAGCTTTTCGCCTCTATGGGAAATCGGACCATTTAAATGATTCCCTCTTACAGCTCTTGCTACCGGGCCCAATTACTATAATTATCGAACGTTCACCACATCTAAGTAATCGGTTTCTAAATCCGAATACCACAAAGATTGGTATACGTATTCCTAGATGTAAATTTATACAGGACCTATGTTTATTATTTGGTGAACAACCACTTGCTTTAACAAGCGCCAACAGATCGGCTGAACGCAGTAGTTTAAATATAAAAGAATTCGAATTCTTATGGCCTAAACTTGGAGGGATTTTTGATGCGGGACAGATAGGCCTAACTGAAGAACGTCGGTCTGCGTCGACTGTGATAGATTTATCCCAACCTGGACTTTACAAAATAGTAAGAGAAGGCGTAGCTCTTAAGTACACTATGGATGTATTACACAAATTTAACATAAAATCAATGGCTTCGAAAATAGTGTGAATAAAAATACTTAAGTTAAAAAAATATCAGATTTTAATATTTCTAAAATTTCCGATATTCAATGTTTACAAAATGAATCAATCAGTATCTTGAAAATTTAAAATGATGTACATACATACATAAAATCCCACGCCTCAAAAGCACTGCAAACCAAAGTTCCCGAAATCTTAACGAAATTTTTAGGAGTATCTCATTTCTGTAGCGATTTTCCTACCAACCTTTAAAGAAAATTATATGAAGTGGTTGGTTCGTAAAGAATTTCTGCACGAAAAATAAAGAAATTCTGAAAAAAATCTGCAAGAAATTCTTCACTGCAACATTATTTGCACTGCCTTACCGATTTTCTTTCAGTTTACAAAAATCGGATGAGATCTTTGCCAATTCTTTAAAATTTCTCTACAATTCAGAATACTCTGAAAAAATTTAAAAAAAAAAATGGTTTGCAGGAAGCTTTTCAAATTTACAACATTCAAACTGTAGCTTTTCTAATGTTCCTACTGGCTGTAGTAATTTGATGATTTCGCTATTTGGATAGGCCTTCGCCGCCGAGGTAGGTCTGTTTGTAGTCGGCGCCAACGTTCTGGAGGCCACACGATATACGTCGCCCGAGCGGTCATTAAGCCCAGCGCCACGGGCCCAAAAGTATTACTATCTAGCGAATGGCCTGTGTGGTCACCTTCAACCCAGCAATGACCTTCCGGGATGCGCACTATTTCTTGTTTGTACCCAATCGTAGAAACAACATCTCCTTGCAGTCCAACGATGCGTTTAATTATCTTTTGTGAAGGATCTTTCGGAGATATGAGCGAAACAATAGCTCCGCGTTCCACATTATTTGTGCGTACGGCCCAGCGTGAAAGAAAAACATAATCGGTTTGGCTAGCATCTGGATTAAGGGCAGGTTGCATTGAAATACCTAAAATATATTGCATTTGTATCTTTGTCGCGTTTCTCTATAATTAAAGCAAACCCCTCGTTACAGACGAAAAATTTGGTTTTCAGTCCGTTGTTTCAGAGGTTCCGGGTGAATGCACATATTTACCGTCTACTCGCGCTACATAGCCAACGCAATCCAGAAATGTTATACCAATTGGAATTCCCAGAAGTACAGATTTTACAAATTTCCGAAATGCCATTAAACAAAAGCCCTGAGCGAACGATCAACACTCCTTTCTGTTGTTTCTCCTGTAGGGCACTTAATGATAGCACGTTTGATACTTTTTTATGTGAATTATTTTTTATATAAAATATAAGTAAAATTTGTTTTAATTATTTTGTTTTTGATTTAGAGATAATTTCAATTGGAGCGATCCACTCCATTTCTTCCTCGCAAAAAACATGGAAAGCAATGCTTATCTAAGAAAGGTTCTGTTCGTTTAATAAACGCAGTGGAAATGTCATAAAACCATTGTGTTTAGAAATAGAACGAAGGTATCGAGCACTAATATTTTAACCAAATATTGAGTCAAGCATTTCGAATTTTCAAAGAACGAAGATCTTTTAATTATAGACGCTTAAAGTATTTTTTAGTTTAGTTAGGCCAAAACAAAGACATTTTATTAATAATAATAATAATAATATTAATACCGCTTATAACGAATATCGTCGTCGGTGTCACCTTATGCCAAAACCTTCAATTCAACACCGTTCCCCCGTGAATGTAAATAAGTTATTCATATTCGTTGTTACACGTAAATAGGGACGTTCCGAACCATCAAAGTATCGATACCTACTTAAATGAGTGGACTCAAATCGCTATTTCGATACTACTTATATGACTAAACCGAATGTATCGATACCTACTCATATCGATAATATTTCATGCAACAAAGTGAAGGTAAATTTTCAGACTTTATCTGTGACATACCTTTTGCGACACCTGAGTGGAAGATCGACCTATCGCGGCAGCCAGTTCGAAAACGCCCTTTATAAGAAAACTTTTCAAAAGCGCCCATTTTCAGAATTTGAGTAAAAAACGGCCTATCTCAGAATACTTTGCAAAAACACCCTATTTCAGAACTCGGTTCAAAAACGCCTATGTCGGCTGCCGAATCAAAAACGCCGTATCTCAAATATTTTCAATATACTTTCAGTTTAGGTAAGGGCGTTTTTGAACCAAATTCTGAAATAGGGCGTTCTTGAAAAGTTTTCTGAGATGGGGCGTTTTCGACCTGGCTGCCGAAATGGCTCGATTTTCTTGTAAAAATATATCCACACTTTAGATTTTGGCGGTGCCATTGCGTAAAGCAAAGTTTCTTCCATCGAAAAAATATGGCCGACCAGAAATGGCACTTGCTAAAATCTATTCGATACAAGTAAGTATTTTTCTTTCGATACCAATTAGGTATCGAAACAACGATTCAAATAAAAAAAGTAGTTGGTATCGAAACAAAAGTATCGAGTTCATACTCGTATTTACTTGTATCGGAAGCTCCCTACACGTAAATGAAAACAATTTTCTGAAGTGTGGAAGAACAATTTTATTAGGTAGTAAATTATAATTCCTATGCAAACCACTCCAATTAGTTGTCTCGAACGCAGTTAACATCGGCTTAAATATTTTAGATCTTCATCGGCTTTCAATGAAGGATTGATGAGTGGCGTGAATTCTAACATTCGTTAATTACTTTCATGTTAATAGGCAATTAATAAGGCGTTCGAGTAGTTCATTAACAGCTTTTGCAATGCGTAGACAGCGGTAAGATTTTGCATATGTGTAGTCATTCAAACAATTATTTTGTTATTCTTAGAAAAAATCACCAGTCGGAGGATATTGATATTAATACTCGTCAACCAACCAACATGTCATATACGCCATTAAATAAGGAGTCAAATAATATGGAAGATTTTCTTCAAATGGAAAACTTGACGCGATTTAATACGCTGGAGAAGAGACCATCACATCGCTTTGAAAATACGATTGAGGCTAAAGTAGAAGAAGGCGATACTTTGCAAGCGTTGGCGCTCCGTTTTCATTGTTCAGTGAGTTAAGACCACATACGAAGGCTGGTTGCAATGTTTGTGTGATACTAAAAATTTAAATTTCTTATAGGTGGCAGATATAAAACGAATAAATAAGATTGACAAAGATAATGAAATTTACGCGAGAAAAGTAGTCAAAATTCCCGTTACTCCACATTCAATATTATTGGAAACTCTACCAATTGTCCACAAAAGTGGAAGCAATAGTCCAAGTCAATGCGAAGATGATACTTTGGTGACAAATATAATGAAAAATCCTTTAGAAGATGCGAGAGTTGTGTTGGGTGAGAAGCTTATTGTAGCATCAGTGAATTCCTCTAGCACCACCAGTCAAGGCACCAATGACATCAACAATGAAATTATCAGTTCAAAATTTATAAGAAAGGCAAACGCTTATACGGAGGAAGGTGAGTGCAAAATTACTCGTTAAATTTTTGGCAGTGTCTGCCCACACGCACCACGGTGACTTTTACCGTAGATCCGCGGTAAAAATTAGCGTAGATCTACCGTAAAATTACGTGGATTATGTGTTGCCGGAGAAGTGGGGCAGAACTTCTTTCGGCATAATAATTTTACCGTGGATCTACGGTAATTTTACCGTGTATGTATATACGGTAATTTTTACCGTGGCGCGTGTAAGTAGACACTCTAAATTTTTATGTAATATTTGTAATACTTATGTACACTGCCGGCAAAAAGTATTGGCACAGCTGCTTTTTTACAATATATGCAACAATTTTTATTGTAATATTTTTCCGACAATTTTTTATAAAAATATGGTTCATCCATTCATTGCTGAATTTTCGCGAGTTTTGCACAAAGTATAGAAATATATTTTTGTGTTTTTTGTTGTGGAATGAACGATATTTTTATAAAAAATCTTCCGAAAAATATTACAATAAAAATTGTGGCATATATTGTAAAAAATCAGCTGTGCCAATACTTTTTCCGGCAGTGTATGTATGTACATATGATTATTTTTGGTTACTAAAAAACGTAAAGAGAGAATGAATGAATGAATGAATGAAGGATTCAATGGCTTTGATTCGATTTTTTTATAAATTCTACGAGTGCTTGAAATTGTTCACATTGTGATGGATCAGATGATATTTGTTGAACGTTCGTGGCGTTCGATCCATCCAAGGAGCCAACGTTACTATCTCCTTACCTCCTTGCACATAATGTCCTTGCACATAAGAACGATCGTCAGAAGGCTCTGTTATGCATACTTGGCATTGCTTGAGAGTTGTCACATAAGGTATCTGTTAAATGAGCTTCGCGTGTAAGCGGTTACCCAACGCACAGCATTACATACGTAAAAGTCTGTTGGTTTTTGATTTCTACGTAAAAATGGTATAGCAGTGCATGCAATGCCAAGTATGCATAACAGAGCCTAGACAGTGCGATGAAAGTGTGTCGCAGTTGAGAAATTTCGCAACTGGATTTAATCGTTTATTATTTTTGTATTTTCACAAAATTGAAAGCAAAATTTAGACTCAATTGAAAGGGAAAAATTGAAAGCAAGTTGCCCATTCAAGTCATAAATAAGAGTGTGTTAATGAAAAAGTGTGAGTGTATTGAAAATTGAAAGGGGAAAATTGAATGTGTAACGTCCCGGTAAACAAATGCGTCAGCGTTGTCTGGCTGTCAAAAAGTTCTCATGCCCATACAATAGTTGCGTTCCAGCAGCAGTACGATTTGCAGTTTTTGCAGGATTTTCTCCGAGAAGCGCTCCAGCAGACAAATTTCCTGTAACAGCAATTTCGTGAGAGTAAAATATGCTACTCTCAGTATGAAAATGCAGGATTTAGTCCGCAGTTTTTCTTCCTGCAAATCGTAAATAACGAACGAAAGAGCTGATGCAATTTATAAGAAATATTTTTAGCAGAATAGAAGCCAATTGTACCAAAATAACGAAATCTTTAGAGAATTAAAGTGTTGTGTGTAAGAATTTTTGCCTGAATAAACAATTCTGTAAACAAATATCTGACATTTATATACCTGAAGGAAAAATGTTTTTTTTTGCGTTCCAGCAGTTTTTCTCAGTTCTTCGACCGTTACTCTCTTTTGTGGGAGTTATTTTGCTTTTTGGCAGTTCTATAGGTTTTAGTCCAAAAATAGCTGGAACTCACCTAATTTACATGAAGCATACCGAAACAACGCAGCGTCAACGCTGAGCGATTGGAAAATCCGATTTGGACAGGGCGTTAGGTGGTGAAGATGGCTGCAGAAAACGGCGAAACTAGTCCTGTTTGCGTCCGCACTATCCAGTACAATCCAGTACTAATTTTACTGGTTTTTACTGGATGGCGTTTTCGTACGCTAAAACTTGCAAGAAACCAGCCAAAGAGAGAGAATTGAGAGAGCAAAAATGACAGCTGAACTTGGTAGCAAGCTGATGGCATGATGCTTAATGCAATTCACATTACCAAAAGAATTGTTTGTGGTGCTTTTAGAGTTGCAATTGACAAAATAAACCTATTTAGATATATAATAAGTTGGGAAATACTATTTTTCTTAGAAAACGGCGTCGGATAATAATAATAAATCAGCTGTTCATAAAACTTGCCACTTCTTGCTGGTTTTGCGTTTTCGTGCTTTCTTGCATATTTATCTCTTTTGCGTTCAAATCACGCAGGGTTGCACGAAAAAAGATTGAATGGCTAAAAATATCAAAATATAATCGCTTTCAACAAAGTTGATCGCCAGCCAGGCATTCAACTTTTTTTCGTGCTACCCTGCGTGAGTTGAAAGTAAAAGTTGAACGCAAAATCGCCTCGTGCGAACACATTTTCACTCTCCGAAATTTGGTTACTAGCAAATTACTGGATATTTTTTGCTGGATAATACGAAAACACAACAACTGTCACTTTCGTATACACACCAACAAACGTCTGTTTATGAATTTTGTTTATCAATTTGAATTTTTGTTTATCAATTAGATCGAACAGCACTTTATACGTTCCACTGTCAAAAGACTATCAAACTTGAGGAAAATCAAAACTACTTTGATTTTGGTCAAACAGCCATCAAACTCGAACATGTCACAGAAAATTTCAACATGCACGCAGTTTGGTCAAACTATTTGACCATGTAAGGTCCCAATAATGTGTTTCAAGCATAAAGAGCGTGTCAGACGTGGCAATATATTTCGATGCAATAAATTTCGGAAAGGCTGTTAAATTGAGAAATCTGTTGCATGAGCAGTCACACCTTGCATGGAAAGTGTCTTTCGAAAGAGGTTTTTATTTCCGAACGGCGAATTGCAGGAAAAATTTCTGAAATCGCTTTTTGGCTGTTCACACAGCGAATGAGTTTCTGGCAATCTTTCTCGATACTAAAATGCAACCATGGGCGGTGGGGTTGTCGTTTGTTTGCTATTTCTTTTGTAAAAGCGAGAAAATATAGGTTATAATTAACATATTTGTCGTGTAAACAATAATTTAACAATTAAGTATATTAAGCAAAATAATATATTTCAAGCATTTTTGATATTTAATTCAACAATATTTTTTATCATTCACGATCAGGGCCACACGGCAACACTCGATTAGTTTGACAGCACTTGCAGAAGAAATAAAAATTGCTAGTACAGCACGAGCAAGTTGAAATATATTTCCGAAATCGATTTTCGCTCTTGCAGTTGCAGTCCCACCTTGCAACTTTTATTTCTGAAACTGATTTCCGAAGGGTGACAGAAAGATCTTTCTGGCTGTTCACACATCGAAATAAAATTTCTCTTTCTCAATTTGACAGCGAATTGCGTGCGAAAGACGGAAATATTGCCACGTCTGACAGGCTCTTAACAGCTGTTATCTCTAGACAAAAATAATAATAAATTTGTCCATCACCTTGTTCGTTTCATTTCCATTTTTCCCATGTTTTCATATGTCTTTCAAAGCTTCCCCTTGGCAATTTACATCGCTGACAGCTCTAATTTCCAAATTGTTTAGTCATTGCTGCCGTATCGAAAATAGGGTTTCATAATTTAACTTAAAATAGTTTTGTGAAAATGCCGGATTATTTGGGAGATGATCAGCGCAAAATTAAAGCTGATGAGACCGAAGAAAAAGAAATAAAATCGCTGGATGAAGGCGATATTGAGCTTTTGAAGACATACGGTCAGAGTCAATACCATAAGGCCATTAAAACCATTGAGGAAGATATCCAGAAAGCTGTGAAGCAAGTAAACGAGCTTACAGGAATTAAAGAGAGTGACACCGGACTAGCACCACCAGCCCTTTGGGACTTAGCAGCTGATAAACAGATATTACAAAATGAGCAACCACTTCAAGTAGCGCGTTGCACAAAAATAATTAATGCCGATTCGGATGATCCGAAATATATCATAAATGTAAAACAATTTGCCAAGTTTGTTGTGGATTTGGCAGATTCAGTAGCGCCAACTGATATTGAGGAGGGCATGCGTGTTGGTGTCGATCGCAACAAGTATCAGATACATATTCCACTGCCTCCAAAAATTGATCCCACTGTCACAATGATGCAGGTAGAAGATAAACCAGACGTAACGTACAGCGATGTGGGAGGCTGCAAGGAACAGATCGAAAAATTACGAGAGGTAGTAGAAACGCCACTTTTGCATCCGGAAAAGTTCGTTAACCTTGGTATTGAGCCTCCAAAAGGAGTGCTGCTTTTTGGTCCTCCTGGAACAGGTAAAACTTTGTGTGCTCGGGCAGTGGCTAATCGTACAGATGCCTGTTTTATACGTGTTATCGGTTCAGAGCTTGTTCAAAAGTATGTGGGCGAGGGCGCGCGTATGGTTCGTGAACTATTCGAAATGGCCAGATCAAAAAAAGCTTGCTTAATATTCTTCGACGAAATTGATGCAATTGGTGGAGCACGTTTCGATGATGGCGCTGGCGGCGACAATGAAGTGCAGCGTACCATGTTGGAGTTAATTAATCAGTTGGATGGATTCGATCCTCGTGGTAACATAAAAGTGCTTATGGCTACCAACAGACCTGATACACTTGATCCTGCACTGATGCGACCTGGGCGTTTGGACCGCAAAGTAGAATTTGGGCTTCCTGACTTGGAGGGGCGCACGCATATTTTTAAAATTCATGCCCGTTCTATGTCTGTAGAGCGTGATATACGTTTCGAATTACTCGCACGTCTTTGTCCAAATTCGACTGGAGCTGAAATCCGTTCGGTATGTACTGAGGCGGGCATGTTTGCAATACGTGCTCGCCGTAAAGTCGCTACAGAAAAGGACTTCTTGGAAGCAGTCAATAAAGTCATTAAGAGCTACGCTAAATTCAGCGCTACTCCACGTTATATGACATATAATTAAACATTAGTATCTAGTATTTTCTTTAATGTACTCTACCAAACAGAACATTCACAAGTTCGTAATAAAACAATAAAGAAATCGTTAAAATCAATTTATTTTATTTAGCAAGGCGAATTCATAAATATTAGGTTTGTTCGTCGAGCAAAAAAACTATGAATTTTTACGAATTATGATCTTTGCCCAAATCGCGTTCGTGCGGAACAAAAAATTATCCTACACTCAAAAATTGTGAGAGCAAAGTGACAGTTCTCTTGAAGAGGAGTTGCAAATTCTTGCTGGAAAAAATTTTGCCCGTAAGAATTTGCAAAAACAAAAATCATGTGAATGTATATGAAATTTACCGTTATACGGGAAGCGGGAGTAATTTTAGTCTGATTTGAAACAATTTCAATGAATTGCTTTTCCGTACGAAGGTTATGAACAGTGTTGCATTGCACTAATCAATTTTAAATTTTAACAGTGTGATAAATTTTAAAATTATTGGTGAAACTGGGTTCTAGATCACTGCTGGGCACTGCCTTGCCCACGGGTAAAGCTCTTAAGCTTTCTATACATTTTTTTTGTAGGCGCATGCAGAGTAAGAGCTCTCTCTGCCCATCGCTGGTCTAGATTGACAAATAGTATTGAAAATATTAGGTTTGTTTGTTAGGTCGGTGTTATGCAGACAAACTTTTGTTTGCCAAATTAAATGGCGGCTGCTTAGTTTGCTCGGAGGTGGTTATGTCGAGTTTGGCACAGGGTTGCATGTTCATTATGGTTTTCATGGCTATTGCCAACACGAAATGAGAATTTCAGATGTACATAACGCGCAAAATTTAAAATTTTTGTATATGACAACACCGATTTTGCTGCAGTTTGACCAAACAAAATTAGTTTGCTGTGAGAGTCGCCAAACTCGCTCTCTCCGAGTTTGCTGCAACAACAATTGCACGCAGTTTGCCAAACAAAATTTGTGCATAACACCGACCTTAGAAAATCCAGCCAGAATTATCCAACATTCAAAATATCAGAGAGTAAGAAAAAATTCCCCCAAATTCTCTCTCACGTTGAGAAACTTGCTAATTTCTGCATGAACGCAAATTTGCAAGTTTCCCTGCCAGCTGGTGTCCACGGTTGCATCTCAAACATAACACATTTTTATAGAATTTTTAAAATTCTTTCAGATGGACAAAAAACAGGATAGACATGTATATTCCTTGTTCTGACTTTCTTTAACATACATTTCCATTTCTTTATGGTACTAGCGGTCGGGTTTCTTTAATCGACTCTGGTTGCAATTGCATTCCCATTGCGAATCATGTTAATTTTTTTTGTTCAGCGGAGTACAGTTCAAATCATTGGAATTACCTAAATTAATTATATTAACAAGTATTTTTCTTCCTTTTTTCATAAAAACTCGCTCATCTTTATAGATTTTTTAATTTAACGAACTTATTTATTAAAATTATCGTCGACAAAAATGCAACCATTTGCCACAATCATATGTTTTTCGTGATTGTAAATTCTTGCTGCCTAAATTTTTTCCAGCAAGAATTCGCAACTTCTCTCCAAAAGAACTGTCACTTTGCGCTCTCAGTTTTTAAGTGATGGATAATTTTTTGGTCTGCACGAACGCGATTTGGGCAGAAATAAAGATAATTCGTACAACTTCGTGCAATTTTTTTTGCTCGACGAACAAACCTATTGGCAAATTACTCTCTCACGAGTGTCAAAAATGTGGCAAAACCTGCCAAAAGTGCCCAGAGCGTGATTAACGCAAAAATCCACATTTCGTGCCCGGAATCAACAAATCAGCTATTTCACTTGTTTTTGTTTTTGCGATTGACAAGTACGGAAAACAATTAAAAGGTGTATTCGCGTATCCTTCCAGCAGATAACTCTCAAGAGCGAAATTCAAATGAATTTTATCGGTTCTCTCTCAAAGAGAGAAATGTTTGCAAAAGTACGCGAACGCAAAACTAGCAAAAAGTTGCAAGTTAGAGTTTGCCTAAAGCAATTTGTTAAGCAAAAGTAAGTAAATGAGGGTATACGTGCAGAATACGTACATTTCTCTGATTGAAAAAATTTATATTGGGATCGATACGGGTCTTAGTCCTGATTATAACGGTATTTTTATTTTTTTTTTGAGGCGGAAATAATAACTACTGGTATTATTGGAGGTCGAAAAATCAATTTTTGAATTTCTTTTAAGTGGAATAACTAAAAAACTACTGCATTAATTTAAAATATTTTGATTTCGTTTGAAAGGTATTAAAAATATGGCTTTTTTTTTAATATGCATATGTTTTACTTTTTTTGTAAGGCATATGAGAAAAATGAGTTTTTATAAAAAACATGATAAAGTTAAAAACAAAGTAATTTTTATTATTAAATCACGTTATTGACAACCTAAAAAAATTAGCTAATCACATAAAGGAGAAAATAAGCTTTCATTAGATCTATATATTTGCACTTACTTGCATTTACTTATGTTATGTTATGTTATGTTATGTTATGTTTACATATTACTTACTTATGTTATTTTACTTATGTTAATGAAGTGATTTTTAAAGAAAAAAATACATTTGTTAACAAGAAAAAAGAATTGTATAAAAACTTGTTTTCCAAAAATTTTTTTCAATAAAGAATAACAATTATTGTATGTCAAAAGAGAGGTACTTCCAAGGCGAATTCATATAAAGTGGTAACGATTCAACAAATACAACAATTACTTGTATTTTGTTTTTGCTTTTAGCTGGTCATTGTCAAATTTCAGCTATTCTTCTACGAATGAAAAAGGGCGACAGAAAATGCAAACTCACGTTTTCACTCACTCACTAGCAAAATATAAAATTTTGACAATCAATCGCTACTCACAGCTGATTAAACAACACCACCTTATATAAATTCGCCTTGGGTACTTCTATTACCTTTCTAACGACATACAAATCTTTGAAATATCATCAATGGTTTACGAGGTATTTAAAGTTTAAAAAGTCAAGTTTTTGACCAGTTGACAGTTAAACAAAACTAAAATTTTTTTTCCACCAAAAAAAAAAAAAAAATTGTTGTATTCTCTATAAATTCCTCTATAGAACCCACTACTTTTTTTTTTTAGAAATGTGCGTCTACTGCACTTGTTCCTAAATGAGTATTTGCTTTCTACCAAAACATTTGCAGTCCTAATAAGTTATTTGATTGGTAACCTCAATAGAGCTTCTTGTTCCCATTTACGTATGTATGTATTTATAACAACTCATAATAAATGTTAATTTAAGCACTTGTTAATTTTAGGAGTTTAGATGAATACCACTAATACTTAATTTCAAACAATTTCATTATTATTTTTTTCAGACTCCATCCATGGCACTGAAAATGACTCAGCAGCACTGCTGGAAGACATACTCAATGATGATTTTGCTGAGACTCACGTGCGTCCTATACGCGGTCCTTCTTTGAGTACTCTACTCTGGTCTGGTTCGGATGGGGATATGACATGGGTGTGTTTATTTATCGTTATTTTGGCATTGTGCTTTGCCATACCATTGGTAGTTGTGATTTTTTGGACACATCCTCACAGCAGCGGAAGCAATCACAACAATCATGCAACAACAGCGATGTGACACAATTGATTCGATGTGAATGGCAAACATTTTTATTTCAAAATTCTATTCTTTATTTTATTTAAATGCTCACTTACAAATATGGTTAAGGAATTATTTGAAAGACCAAAAAACTAAGAGCACAGGTAAACAATTATGCATTGTGATCTTTTGCACACATTTTCAGAGTAGTGAATATGGAAACCGTATAGGAGTAGTCGAGAAGCTAAATAACAATTTAAAATATGATGTACCATTAAATAACCATGTAAGAAGAAAGAAAGAGTTGTAAAGTTCGAAAGTGCCTTCTCTCTTTAAGGGGAAATCTTCAATACCTATGTATCTTTTAATATAAAAATGTGTCTGGGCGTAATTTAGTTTTCTTGTCACCTATTTGTTACAAATTCCGTTAAAATATTATGGGATTGTTCGTTTTATAAATTTTTAAAATTATAAATAACATATGCATAGCTACATACATACATATGTATGTATGTATGTATGTAGTATACATATGTATTGGGAAGTTGAAAAACTTGACGCGCGATTTGCTAGAAAGAAAACGATGTATTCGGCAATTCTGTAATTAAATTACTTGATTCTCGTGACAATTTTGTAAGTGTTTTTTTTATCGAAACCATTTAGATTTAAATCAAACAGAATTTGTAAATAAATATCTTCCAAAGCTGTGTGTGATATACATACAGACATACTATGTACATATGTATACGTAAAAAAGTAATTGAATGATAAAAAACGAATTTTATAAATAAAAACCAATTTTTACAAAAGTTATTTAATTTTAGATAATTTTTATCGAGCCAATTGTTTTTGTCACACCAATTTTTGAGTTTTTGTAAGCAAAATTGCAAAAACTATAATAAGCAAAAATAAGTTCCCCCTGTAAATTCAATACCAGATTATAAAACTGGGAATTGCTTCTACCTATAACTCAAAAACGCCCTATATCAGCATATTTTCAATACATTTTGAAGTGAGATAGGGCGTTTTTGAACCGAATTTTGAGATAGGGTGTTTTTCAATTAAATTCTGAAATAGGGCGTTCTTGAAAAGTTTTTTGAGATAGAGCGTTTTCGAACTGGCTGCTGAGATATGTCGATCTTCGACTCAGCCATCGATATGCAGGTACAGGCAGTTTCAAATGTTAGTGTACATTTTGTTCTAGTCTATTTATTATTCATAATTATTTTCATGAACTATTTTTTTCATTAACTATTTATAAAAATACATGTAGTTCATTCTATAATATAAACCATATAAATCAAAAGTTTGATCTTTATATAAAAATCATAAAAATTAAAAACATTTGTATCAAAATTTCAAAATGTTTATTCAGAATTTCTACAAAATTTTGGAGTATGCAGTTTTGTAGCTCATTCAATTTTAGTAAAACAATATGCAAGTTTCAAGTCACTAAAAATTACCGTTGGCTTTTTATATTTTTTGTGGAGGGTGTTTGCGCGTTTTCTTCTATAAATTTCCTATTAGCCCGGTCAAGTAACATTTTCAAGGTTGCAAGAAAATGGGGTACGAATGTCACGAATACCACTGATAAATGAAATGTGAAAAGTCCTCAAACTAATTTTTACCATTTTTCAGTTAAACGGTAAGATTTATCATAAAAATAGGTTAGACAGATTATGCAATTATCTCTAAAAACCGTTTTGTTCGTAAAGATCATAATTTCTGGGATACAACGACTCGATCGCCATCCATATTGGAATAATTTATTTAACTTGTGAAATACATTGAATTAAAGTTAATTTTTTAAAAGCTGCACTGAGCCAAAAGCACAATGGTTTTTTTTTAACCAAGTTATTGTTTGGTTTTTTCATGGTTAATACACCGATCAAGGCGAATTAATATAAGGTGATAGCAGGAGTACAAATACCAAAAATTTGCATGTATTTTGTTTTTGCTTTGACGGCGTCAATGTCAAAATCAGTAAGAGTGTGTGTAGAAATTCAAATAAAATTTTTCAATTTGACATCAGAAATACATGCACAAAATCAGCTGATCGAGTGCGAATTCCGTCAGCGAAACACATAATTCTTATTTTTTTTCTGTTTTTGATTTTTCTTAATTACGAAAAAGCATCTGTGAAGTGCAGAACCAAATTAAACGGCGAAGAAAATTGATTCGAGTTGAACGTTTAAAGACACATTTATAAAGCGGCTGTGGCTGAGTGTGTAGAGATGCTTGCTGTTATTTGCAAACTTTCCGAAGATGCCGGTTTAATTCCCGTCAGAGACAACGTGTTAAAATGACAATAAACATTTTTGTTTTGTATCTCCGAATTATGAAAAAGCATCTGTGAAGTGCAGAGCATAAGCGTATTCAAACGGAAAAATCAACAGCCAAAAGTTTGGTGAATGTAGACAAAAGTGTGGTTAATATTACCAAATCATTGTTGAAAATATCAAACAAAGCATTGTCAATACTAACCAAAAGGGTTCTGCAATTTACTTCTGAGTGAATTTCAACCCCTGTCAATTTGAATTCAAAGCGAATTTGACTCAATTTCACTCGGAAGTGAATTACAGAACCTGCCTGATTGATTCCTTGTCAAGTTTGAATTTGGTAATATTAACCAATTTTTGGTTGATTTTTTCTCAGTGTCATAGTATAATAAATTCAGTCTGTATGGGAAGTGCTACGGGCCCTTTTCCAATAACCCACATTTTCCAATGAGTATAATAATGATTTCATATATCTCCATTCCAAATTCCTGTACTCCACCACAAATACTTGCAGAGGTATGCGGTATGAAGAGGGCACAATACATAGATATCCTGGTTGCAGTGCATCTCTGAACTGAATATCTATCTACGCAGTATGAAGAATTTCGTTTGCATGCGAGGTGTCACGCTCCTTTGTCTAATCGAGATAAAAGCTATCCTATCTTTTAAGTTGTGCTAAATGACACCATGGAAATAAAGCCATATGGCCTTATTTCTCAGTGTAAAGTCAAATAAAGCCATAACCAAAAACTTTAATAATAAAATTAGATTGGCGCTTACGCATATGTTAGTTTTTGGCCGAGCTTCTCCTCCGATTTGTGGCGTACGCCTTGATGTTGTCACACAAAGAGGAGGGACCTACAGTTTTACGCCTACTTCGAACAACGATTGTCTTTTAATGAGAAGCTGTTTTTCATGGTAGAAATTCACTCGGAGGTTTGCCATTGCCTGCCGAGGGGCGACCGCTGTTAAGAAAAAATCTATTTTCTAAATTTTTTTTGCGATGTTGCATTGACTCCTTCTCCACTTGGTCTTTCCAACACAGTGGGGGCCTCCCTCTTCCTCTGCTACCACCAGCGGGTTCCGAGTTGATGGCAAAGCCAGCGGTGCCGCTACATTTTAAATCGCTAAACTATGTTCATGTCGTTTTAAAGCTCATCGTCTGCGGTACTCGCCATCGCCAACGCGTTAAGGCCCGTAGATCTTCCACAAAATCTTTCTCTCAAATACTCCAAGAGCTGCCCCATCGGATGTTGTCATTGTCCATGCTTTGGCGCCAAATACCAACACGGGCATGATAAGTGACTTATAGAGTGTGGTTTTCATACGTCGAGAGAGGACTTTATTTCTGAATCGCCTAAATCGGGAAAGCTAAATCGTGGACATTCTTAATCGAATACATATACTCTATCTCCGTTCCCAGGTTATTAGCTACCACCAAACTCGTTTGCTAAAAACGTTTCTATTATTGTAAGTATATACTATAATGTTCTGAAACTTGTTCTTAGATCGGAAATTAAAAATCTCAGCGCAATTGTTTTCAAAGCTTTTATTTATTATTTTAGTAATTAGGATATAATTTTGTATATATATATATTTATTGTACATCTTTAACTGAAATAAATTGAAAGCATTGATGTACAAACATATATGCAGGCATTTATGTTAGGAATGTTAATCGCACGATCCCGGGATCCCGGCCGTTTTTTAAGTCTCGAAAATCCCGGGATTCTTGGCAAATAATCCCGGGATTTTCGGGATTTGTAATTTGCACTGATGGCAATAATTGAAACTCCGTTTCTTGACCAGTATTGGCTATATTTCTTTTTTTTATTTCATAATAAATATTTCTTCATAAATGTGTAGCTCATTGTAACACATTGCGATAGCAAATTTGACACACAAAAATGAATACATTCGCGAAACCATGTGCCAAATATACATATGTAGTAAAATTGCGTTTTTAGTTTTTCACTCGGACGTCAGTAATTAAAAATGTTTTAAAAAATTCAGAGAAATGTGCTTAGACAAGAAGTATGGGTATCAAATTGAAGAGGAAATTCTGTAGAATTTAAGCAGATTCAATGCTTTAGTGCATAAGGACTGGTAAGTATTCAAAATGTCCTTCTAGAATTGTATCCATAAATTTGGCAATATTTGTTTTTGAAAAAATTATATGTTAAGGACTTAAATAAACTCGATAACATCCACGAATTTCGTCCCTCTAACTTTATCAGCTTAAAAAATTACCTATTCGTCCTTGTGAATCGAAAAAATTTTAATTTTTTTAATTCTAATTTAAATTTAATTCTTGCAATTGGTACCCTAAATACATCGCATTGAATTTTTAAATAATTTTTGGAATTAGTCATGTCTTTGAAATTACAAAGTCCTCTAAAATAAATCCTGACGTCAGAGAGAAAAAATAAAAACGCCACTTCAAATAAAAAAGTAGGTTCCAAAGCCATTTATTTATTATTTTTTTATGGTAGGAGAGCTTCTCAAACAATATAGAAGCAATTTTTTCGATTTAAGTTGTTGAAAAGTAATGAATATCTAAATCCCGGGACTAATCCCGGGATCCCGGGATTGTGATAACGACATCTCGAAAATCCCGGGCTCCCGGGATTGTAAAAACCGAAACAATTAACATCCCTAATGTATGTGTAATACTTAAGGCAAATTCATAATTTCAATAAATAAACCATATAACATACTTACAGTATGCATAGGCGAGAATACGATAGTGACATACATAAGTAGTACATACATATATCTTGGGTACTTATAATTAGTGACGAATGGATAAATTAAGTCACACTTAAAACTAAATGATTCCTTAACCTCTTTGGTAAAATTTATGGTAGGTAGTATATCCAGATGTTCATACATACATACATACATGTACATAAATATCATTGTCGTAATGTAGAAAGGCCTTAACGAATATCGGTTTCTAGTAAGCCAGTTTTTAAGTTACGGCTGTCAAATTTTTTATTTATTTATTAAAATATATATGTATATATATATATATATGTATATAAAGTAAATCTCCAACAATAAATAAAAAAACAAGAAATAATTAGCACTTCATACATTTTGCTATTTAGATGCTTGACCCACCTTCTCGAATTTGGCGTGTGCACCCTGATGTTGATGTAACACAAATAAAGATACATATAATTTTTTTTTTATTACCTACTAAGAATTAGTCGAAAAAATCCAAGTATATACCAGCCGAAAATTCTATGGCACGAGTTTTCGAATTATATAGGCCGATAAAACCTTAACAACCTCATAAATACATACTTCCCAAACATTAACGGCATTCAAAAGACCAAATTGCCTCATAAGTTTTTTTTTTGATTCATAGTCTCATTATCCATCCATTGGAGTTCGAAAGTTAAGTACCAAATTACTTAGAAACTGGAGTTTATTACATATCTACATATACATATACATACTTAGTATGTTGCTTAGCTATTTGTTGTTGTTTATAATTGCGGTGCTGCAAAGTTTTAACGGCCATTTATATACATATGTACATATGTATATTTAACTTTGTTTCCATGTAACTCAGAATGCTAATGCGATCTTCATATGGTAAAAAAGATTAGCTGGTGGAAAGGGTCAGCGAGCGAGGAAATCGGTTGCGGAACAAGGAAGCAAGAAATTTCGCTATCGAAATGGGGCAACTCTTGTTCTTGTTATTTTCAGGAAGTGTGAATATACGAATCGGTAATACATACTTATATTCCGCTGATCGAGTCGTGCGAGTTGTTAACTTCTAAGCTTACATACTACTGACAAAGTAAGCGAGTTGGTAATAAGCAACACATCGAAAAATTAAATTAGTTTTTTAAAACAAACAAATATTATTAGCGGGGCTCGGATTTTGATGCAATTCCATCGTTTTTATGAAGCTTCGGAAGCATTTCCTTGTAATATAGAAACTCTAATTCGTAGGATATAAAAAAAAAAAAAATAAAAGTTATTAGGTATTTTTTTCGATTTAAGCGCATTTTTTGGGCTATTTTTTCCATTTTTATTTGTTTTAATTAATTTTTTTCGTTAAATATTTTTCTGGCAAATAGTTTCGATAGATGTTGCCGGTCGTCATATGAATGGTCCGTAATTAAGGTGATCTCTGGAAAAATTAGGACTTTGCTTTTTTCTCATTTGGATGGAACTCATAATTTGATATTTCCAGTGGTGTTAATGTATCGATTTAGTTGTCACTTGTTTACTATTATTCAAAACCGAATTTAATATTTTTTAAATATTCGTTACCGCCCAATTCTGTGTTTTCTTCATAAATTATTTGTTAAGAAATTTTATCAAGTAAAAGCATTCTGTGTCAACATTTACATATAAAATAAAAAGCTCTACGACTTCCACAAGATCGGTTTCCCGATTTCCATATGAGTGGAACTGATTTCATTGTCACAAACAGTGTGCAAACCCCTTTTTATTTTTTGGTGTGGTAGAGTCGGCAAAAAAAATTTGGCAGATTTTCCAATTCATATTTTTATTGGGTATACATATCGCACACCGTCGTCAAAAGAGGCACAACTCAAAAATTAGATCGAGAAATATAAGTGCAAGTGGATTGTACAAATTTAACGCAATTGATGCGATGGAAAAAAAATTTTCATTAAATTGAGAAAAATCCTACAGATTGATTTATGCAAAAAGTCTACCATATTATTTTTCCATTGCCTAATACTTTAGCAAACATAAATATGCGGATTTTTGACATATATTAAAAAGTTAAGGCACAGATATATTTACAGCAATTGTATGATGTACATTTTTAAAAATTCATTCATTAATTTTTATATTTCGTATAAGAATTGAATTAAAATTTTAGAATTATGTGAAAATTGTAAAACAAATGTTCTGCCTAAAAATGTGGTAGATTTTAAGAATTGTGTGGTAGATGTGGTAGACACCCAATTTAAAAAAAAAATATATGGTAGATCTACCATATATGTATGAGGTAGAAGTTTGCACACTGGTCACAAATGAAAAATACGAATTTAAAAGAAAAAAAGCTTTTGACTGCCGTAGCCGAGTAGGTAGAGATGTCGGCTATAAATTCTGTGTGTAGTAGGCTCAAATGCCGGCACGTGCAGTATTCAAATGCTAGAAACAAATTTTTTAATATACAAAATTTATAATTTTCATATGACATAGGCTGTGAAATGTCAGATGTCAAAATTCCTTGGACACTACCATTCACACACACACCAAAAAAAGCTATTTTTTCTTGACCGTTTTCTTAAGTGGTCCGTACTTAGCCTTAAACATTGAAATAAGCAAAATAAGCAATTCCAAGCAAAAGTTTAAAATTTTCCGCTATACATCAATCAAGCGCCGGATATAGAAAATGCTAAAAGCTTCAGGAGTGGTTTAGGAAAGTTTCATTAACTTCTTTTCAGATTCAGCTCTCGAAATGACACTAAAAAGAAGTTTCTCTAAAGAAAACTAAATTCGCCTATACAGCTGAAGCGGGAATATTTAGAATTGTAAAAGCTTCAGATCAGCTCTTTTTAAAGAAGTATCTTTAAATTAAAGCTTTTCTTACAGATATCGTCTTTCTCTGATGATGTTCTGAAGAATCTTGAACATACATACACACATATGTAATGGAAACCAATGGATTTTTTTTTTCAAAAAATTCATTGAACTCAAACCTTTTCCGGGCATTTCTTAGTTTTAGGCTATTTTCCAGGATTATTAGGAGCTTTTTTTTATTTTTTAAAGTAATTTTTTGGTACTCTTTAGGTCCTCAAAATCCGAGCCCTGATTATTATTTAGTTTTGGTTGTTTTCTGATTGTTATAATTGTTTTTGTTCTTGAGAATCGTTATGTCGGCGACAAAACCAACCCATTTGAAGCCTAGGTTTTTGTCTTATAATTTGTTATATGATATCTGTTACGAGAATGAGTATGAGAATTTTAAGAATAAAGGTGTAAATATGGCCTCTTGAAAAATTTTAAATGCATTATTTTTTCTTGTAAATACTGCTTATATAAAATAAGTATAGTTAAGCCGAATGGAGCCATACAAATTTTCAGCTGTGGCGTTGTAGTCCAATTTTATATGTATGTATTTGTTTAAGTTTTTGTTGTAATATGAATCAGTTTCGTAGGACATTGCAGGGTTTAACATTTAGCAAAGAATTTACCAACTCATTTACTGGTTATTACTTTTGTTGTAAGGGCAGATAGCATAAATGTACATATGTGCATACATACATATGTACATTAGGGTGCCCATCGAAAATTTTGTTTTTGAAATTTCAAAAGACCCCGCCCTCTAATTTCTCTCCTTTTTATGAGAAATATTATTGCATATTTTTATAGATTTTTCTAAAATCATTTATAGCAGCTGATTTGATTTTCTTAAATTATTTGGCTTCGAAAATATTAAATGTAATTTTCACAAAAGTTCTGAATTGTTGAAATCGATTTGCATGTAAAACCTTTGTCCATACAAAACAATTGAAGATTGAATAGCTTGTAATGTGAATAGATTGTAATGTTCGCCCATCTCAGCAGCACAGCCGCTGATTATTGGGTCTTGCAAAGGATAGATCAATGCTTCGAGAAATAAACAAATTTACTTAGAAAGAAAGTTGCACCAATTTTAATTTTTTCCAATCTCAATTTTTTAGTTTTTATTTTTTTCACATGGCACGGTTTGATTTAGAAGAAAAAAATCAGAACAGTTTTTGACACTTTCGATACCAGAAGCAATAACAATATACACGTAAATTTTGTTTTTGCTCTAATGCTACTACCTTGTCGATATGCATTGGATTGTACTATACATTTTGTAATTATGGAATTAAGTGATGGGTAAAAACTTAAAAATTAAGAAATTGTTATTTTTTTACTTTACCCGATGAAAAATCCTGACAGTCCAAGTCTGACAAGAGATTGATATACGACATTTTAAAGGCCAATAAATCCTCGTCCCACAACATGTCCGACCTTTAAAATTGAATGAAAACTAGTCATTCGAAAACTGATAAATCTACAAAACCGTACTTTCTGACCTAAAGTGACAAGTCGCGACCTCTAAATGATTTTGGAAAAATCTATAAAAATAGGCAAAATAATAGGCTGACTTCCAAAACGTATCAATACAATGTTTGGAAACTGTTATACTGCGGTCGGTATTCAAACTGTTTGTATATGCAGAGTTGCGACACATTGCAACCATATACAATTCACATTTTGAATATTCAATATAGCAATGAACGATTTTTCTGAATTTTCCGTTTTTAAAACACAAATCGTAACCAACAAATCGTTCTGGCGATGCGTTTACATAGTCAATATTTTGTAGTTCGACGTTATGGAACCCTATACTTTGTACGTATGAAATTAGGGGGTGGGGTCTTGAAAAAAAAAAAAAATTTATGGGCACCGTAATGTACATACATACATAAGGATGTAAATGTATGTGCATGATTGAATGTACATTAGGAAGAACTGTTCAAAATCCAAAATAAGGAAAGCCGTATTTTTAAATCAAAATTTTGAAGGTAATAAAAACGTTTTTAAGATTTTTGAGACCGCTTCGGATGATAGAATCGTAAAATTCATAATGGCCAATCCAATAAGGTGGATGCTATCCAAAACTCTTATCCTTTGCATTTTTGTGGATAAAGTGTGTCATATTGAATCGGTCATTTTAAATTTCGTGATTCTTCTTTCGTCAGAATCGAGTTGCACGACCCCAGAAAACGTTTTTACCACATCCAAAATCTGCAATTTTTCACCAAAAAAAAAAATTTACTTCTAGTTTCTTTAATTTTTCGACTTACACCATTTGCTCATAAAAATCGAAACTCTTTGTTTTTTTTAATTCGGGTCTAGAAAATCTTCAATTCGGTTAAAAATTTACACTTGCAGCCTTTTAGCGGCGGGGCTTTGAACTTTTCCATATAACATATTTTCCATATATTCCATATTTTACAAGAGGGAAATACAATTTTTCCTAGAATCGCTATAAAATTGTTGAAATCAAACATTTTTGGATCGACTAAGAATATTTCTCTTCAGAAATCTTCAAAAAATAAATTGTGATTCACATTTAACTTTTCCGAAATTTTACTAACTATTTTTTCATAATCGATAATCTTTTTTTTTATATACAAAAATGTGTTAATTTATGTGTTCGTAACCACATCACGCGCGTTATGAAAGAGTAGAAGAAAAATATTTGGTAAACTGCAGAGAGGAGGCGGCACGATTCCAGTATTAAACTAGATTCCAATTAAAAAAATTTGGGTCTCCTTATTTTCGATATTCTACAGTTCTGGGGCGGGCGGCAGCAGGGAAATTTCAAAAAGTTTAATTTCCTGTGTATTGTGTTGGGCCAGCCCAATGTAGGTAACTTTATGTGTACATAAATAAGTGTTAGTATAGCCCGATTATTATATTTCTGCAATGTGCCCAGGTGCCCAGCATTTTTAATCTGGAGAAACTATTTTTTCACGTGAAATAGTTTCCAATCAGCACTGGGTTTACAACAAACCACACTTCGATTGCTTCGATAAATTTTCCAACTTATTTATCAAGAATATTTACTTGAACCTTAAATTCTCAAAGAAAGCAATATTACTTTTTAACATACTAACACGCCGTAACGCATTTGTTGTACTTTTGTTGCCTTCCGCGTTTGTTGTTGCGTGTTCTGTAGGTGGGCTTATCGTTGAGGGAGATGTCGACAAAAGCGTATCGGGGGATGCGATGTTCGATAGATCCTTGTTAGTTGGTGGATCCCTGCCCGAAAAGGGAGACAATATTTTGGAATCAATCGACACAAAATCACAACTTTCTTCATGGGCTTTTTCACTTACGTCTCTAATGACGATAGATCCGATGCAATCGTGGCGTCTTCTGCTATTTCAACGACGGAAAGACTAGCTTCAGTTTTCTTTGTGACTCCTGGTTTGGTATGCGACACGGATGGCATGTTATGGACCTGCAGGAAGTAAAAATATTAAAAGCAAAAATAGTCAGTAAGTTCGAGTCGACACAGTACTTTTTAAAAGGCATACATTTTATTTTTTTATTTCCATAAATGGTAAAAATATGCCCGGCAGCAGCATCATATGCAATGTCCACTGGCCAGGGACGTATCTACGGGGGGAGCGGAAATAGAGGATATTTCGTAGCGCTTTCGACAGAAGCAGCATTTTGATACGAAACAAAATGGTGTTTATGAAAAGAGTCAAACGATAGGCAGGGTTCGAAAACGCCGTATCACAGAAAGCTTTTTAAGAACGCCCTACTTCAGAATTTGATTGAAGAACGCCCTATCTCAGAATTCGGTTCAAAAACGCCCTATCACAGCTGAAAGAAAATACATTGAAAATGTGCTGAGATAGTTTTCTGAGATACAGCGTTTTAGAACTGGCTGCCGAAATAGATCGATATTCCACTCAGGTGACGATATATGTACATACGCAGATGTGAACATTCAAATAAGTGCGTGCTAAATTTTTGTATGAAAATATTATTTTTAAATGCGCACATTTTTAATGATAATCAAATATAAAGTATTAATTTTTACTATGCATTATTTCCCTCAGTGTAGGTATATAAACAAGGTTACTAAATAAGAGTTTCCTAATAAATTCGTCACTATTTAGGTTCATAGCCTAATTGTTTAATAACGGTTGATAGCTTTGTTCCAAGGCACGATTGCTAAGGAAATATTAAAAATCAATTTCAATTTCAAGTTCTTCAACCCAAATCCACATACATATGTATGTATGTAGTTTGGTTAATATAAGCTTTTAGTAGAGTCCAAAATGTATTCAACAAAGTGTGATTGAATTTGACATTGCTCTCAGAAGAACCATCCTATAAAGTCAAATTGAAAAAACTGTGTATGAATTTTGAATCGATTGTGTATATTTTTTTGGCATAATAGTACCTTAAAAGAGAGCCTACCTGAGTTGTCAATCACACCTTGTTTAATACACCTTGGCAGAGTCCTATACAGAAATTATTAATTCTTACGGACTTTTAGTTAAGTTTAAACGAAGTCTTATGTTCAAAAAAGTTTACTTACCCCCTTCTTCCAGCGTTTTTCTGCGGGTGAATACTTATTTGAGCTGAAGAGAAATGCTTGGGCCAATGCTTTCACGGATGGCATAACTTGCGCCACCTCCTCCTCGACTACCGCCTTTTCCCCAGGTGGAGAATTGGGGAGCTGAAAATGGATTAGGGAAATAAATATGTACATATTTATTACTCAAAGAACAGCCGGTTAACTAAATAGCGCTTATTTTCTGCAAGAGTGACATAATCTAAAAAAAATTAAAAACTCGAGAAAACCTGCTTAAAAGTTTTCTTCTAATGGGCTATGGTTAATCGATACAGCTATGAAATTTTTACACAACATAGAAGATGAGGTGGAGGTCATTTCTACATACTCAAATCATTGTTTTTTTTTTGTTTTTTTGATTATGACACTCTTGCAGCAAATGAGCGATATGTCTTTTCTTAAATCTTTCCCTACTCACCGCATCTGCTGCACCTTCGTCCTGAGATAGTATTTTACTTGGATCAATTAGTTTTCGTTTCGGTTGCAAAAATTTGAACGCCATTGGTGTGGAACCTCGCGTCGGCGTGATTGGTGTGCGCGCAATTGCGGTGTTTATGCCACCAGAGTTCGCTTCGGCCGCATTTGGAGAATTTGGTGGCGAGTCCTCTATGGATGTGGATATGGTTACCGCCGCTTGCAATGTTGGTTCGCCAGAATCTTTAGTGGTTATTAATTCGGCCGTTGGCGTCTTCCTCTCATTGCGAAGGGTGGTGGTTTGTTGGTTCTTAAAATCGTAAATACGCACTGTATCGGAGTCGTCACTGGTGGTGGTAGTGTTTACCGATTGCATGGATTGATTGGAAAGTGTTTCAATGGATGCGTTGTTCTCTTCCACCACTTGGGCGGGAAGCGCTTCATACATGGCGGAATGTGGCTCGATAGGCTTTCGGTTGTATGTTTTATACATATATATATATTTCAAACGCATACATACATACATATGTATTTTCGATTACGATTTTTAACCAAACATTGCAGAGATGTGTGTATTTGGAGGATTGGTGATTGGTGATGAAGTTTTTGTGTTTTATGATATTTTTGCATTGTTTTATGAAAAGAGAGTGGTATAAATAGAAAAAACACAAAAGCCCAAGAATCAAATAATGTTAACAGAGCCGTTGTTTCTTTGGATTATTAGATTATGCGGATGTATGTATGTATGTATGTATGTAGGTGTGTCGCAGTAGATGGTGATCCCATTGGAATATACGTATGTAGGTGTGTAGGGGTTTAGGCAGTGCTGTAAATGTATTAGTGTGTCTATGCGAGAAGAGGGGCTGCATATGTGAAATTTTTTGATGGATATATGTCAAGAAAGTGATTGACAAACAAATAAACTAAGGCTATTAGTTCATAAAAAGTAAAGTAGCTTTAGCAAAGGTTTATAAATTCAAAAATGTGCACAAGTTATCGCCAAAATGAATCTACTTTGGATTATCTATATTTATATAAAAATTGTTTATATCGTTGATGAATTGTAGAAAGGCCGTAGCTGACATTTTTTTCGAAATAAGGTTTTTACATTATACTAAACCCCATCAATCTGCAATCTTTAAAAAGCCATACGCATAGACTTGTATGCGTTGGAGCTTGGTTTTTTGTTTCTCATTCAAGGCGAATTTATATAAGGTGGTGCTGCTAGATCAGCTGATTTGATTCGCCTCGGTACACATGTGTCAAAATTTTTAATAAGTTAGCGAGAAAGTGAGAGTGTTGAAATTTCTTTCCTTCTTCTTCCTTGATCGAAGAATAACTGAAATTTGACCGCTGCCACCTTATATGAATACGCCTTGTTCTCATAAAATTTTTTTTTGTTTAAATTCAGTTGGCAGTTTTCTATATTTCATCAAAAATATGTTGATTGACGTATAACATCACGTGAGATTTTAGATGTTTATGCATACATACATACATATGTACATACATACATACATACGTACATACATTACAAAAAGCACGAGCAAAAGAGCTTTATATAAAAAAACGCTATGATCTTCGAAAATGTGTTATTTGAAAATTCGCCATTTGTCAGAAAACAAAAAAGAAGATATATCTGAGAGTCCTGATTGTGATCTTTGCAACAGATTACACCAAAATATTTCTTCAAACTTTCTCAGGAATGTACATACATATGTATACATACATAAACATTTATGATCCGTGAGAATTTGTTGCGCATATGTTTATGTACATACTAGCGAAGACCGAAAATCCGCTTTTTTAGAATTTCGATTGGTAATAGTAAAAATATGGTTCATTATGCCCTAAAAACTATCCGTGTGAAAGATGACAATGGTTAATATCTTAGGCTCGCCCAAGTCCATCAAAGTTGTTAGGCAAAATCATGTGCATAAGTACATCACACGTTTAATAATATACAGAGCTAATTGAAAATTTAAATTTTGTTGGAAAACGCAATCAAAGTTTGACCAATACATACAGTTTGTATACCAAAAGACAGATGGAAAGACACATATCTTCGCCATTTTTGGGAAACTTTGTCTTCTGTTAGCCCAAATATATTCCCCTTATAAAGTTTATTAATTGTGATGATAAAATCTCCAAAAACGTAAATTTTGAATTACATCTGTATATTATTAAACGTGCGACATGTATTTATGTATGTAAGTAAATATGTGCATGCAAATACATTTGTATGTTAACACAAATTTTTAAAATACTCAGCATGCAAAGTTTGCATTTAGTATAACCATCTAAGCGTGTAAATGTACGTTTATACTAAAGGTTAAATGGGTTTGTAATCTTTGCAAAAGCCCCTCAGTTTGTTGCAACCGGCTGGCAAAAGAAAACTCAACTCGTTTCAAATTGCAGCAGGTAGACTATAATTAAGCGAGTTGGCTCCATTTGCATAAATTACTGCGATTCATTCGTTGGTGATGGCGATGAGTTTCTTTATAAAAACCGTTTTTTTTTTTTTGGTTCAAAGTGGAGCCTGTATTATGTTAGTGTGCGTTAGTTCATATTCTTGCTTTCTTTGTGTTCTTCATGTGTGGAATGGTGAACTCAGTGAAACAAATGTTGTTAGTAAAATTACCAAATACATAACATAAAATCAATAATGCTGTAGCTACTAGCCAATTTAAAGGACGCACTCAAATGAAGACATACTTACCTCTTCGATTTGCTTGTCGTTTTTTTTCAATAACTAATTTTACTAAAAACATTTGTCTCTTTAAAATTGTTTATTTGGTTTTTTTTTTTTTAGTTTTCAACTTTCAACTATGTATATAATAAATTTATGCAAATACATTTTCTGGAGCCATACACATATGCATACATACATATATCTGTGTTTATTAACTACGTAGATACTTAACATGTGTAAACTTTATTGAAATAATTATTTATTTATTGAAAAAGAGCATACATCTTCATGACAATGTTACTTAAAGCTTAGGTACACAATATCCAATAAAAATAACGATAATTCAAAGCCATTTGGCGTATATGTAACTAAAGAAAAATTTCAACTTGTTTCAATGGAATAAATGTTGGGAGAAAGCGAAATTAAAATCTATGTATAACTCAAAGTAAGCAATTGACAATTTCAAAATCAATTACGAAAAGCAATTACATACATACATACACTGCCGAAACAAAGTATTGGCACAGCAAATTGTTCACAATATTGCAACAATTTTCATTCTAATATTTTTCCGCTAATTTCGTATAAAAATATGGTTCATTCTACAACAAAAAAAAAAAACATAAAAATATAAATCCTAAAGTTTGTGCAAAACTCGCGAAAATTCAGCAAATTTCCATGAAAATTTTCAACTTTTTAATCAGATTTTTCAGAATTTTTTCGAGTATGCAGATTTGTAGCCCAATCAATTTTATTTATAAAGTGCAAGTTTTAAGTAGCTACCGTTGATTTTTGCCAATTTCTTTTCATGCAGTCTCTTCCATACAAAAAATTTTTTCGAAAATACTTTATATGGAAAAAATGCAGAACACCTTCAAAAAAAAAAAAAAATTCTCAAAAATCAACGGGATTATGGACTAACTCCGAACTTGCATTTTTTTACTCGAATTTAATGGGCTGCAAAACTGCATACTCAAAACAATTCTAAAAAAATCTGATTAAAAAATTAATTTAGATTTTGATGAAAATTTGCTGAATTTTTGCGAGTTTTGCACAAAGTTTAGGAATTATATTTTTATGTTTTTTTTTTTTTGTAGAATGAACCATATTTTTATACAAAATTGGCGAAAAAATATTAGAATAAAAATTGTTGCATATATTGTGAAAATTTTGCTGTGCCAATACTTTGTTGCGGCAGTATACATACCTTTACACATTTAAACGACTTTTACGTGCTTAAGCTGGGCGAACTAATGCATTCATTTACATATTTAATATAAAAAGGGTGCGTTACATTAGGAATTCGCTAATATGCATACCTACTAGTGTTTAAAAAAGCTAAGGTGGCACAATAGTTAGCAATAATCGGATATACATACATACATCATACATGGTTAGATTGTATAAGTATTAAACTGCATGCGTACATGCTTTTATTGACATTAGGGGTATTCACGATCCGGTGCATACTGTGTAGCATGGTGAA